TTTATTTTCCATTTATTGCTACATAATATATTTAACATATATAAGTTTATAACATGTTACATTAATAATTAAGTTAAATTTTATATTTATAGCAATTAATAAAGTATTCACATATTTAAAATGTGTAAATATTATTACATTAATTGTTATTAATGTTGCTCATTGAATATTTGATGTAAATGTTGCTTTTTCAAAATCATAAAAAGGAACTTTCTCACCTCAATCATGCTGTTTAAAAGTTTATGTATTATCAATGAGCAGTAAATTTGACAATATTTCACATGCTGAAAGATACTTACTAACACAAATGACTGAATATTGACATTGATATTCATTAAATTGCTGCTTGGGTATTTGAACATTACTTTGGTGAATATTTCCTGGAAAGATAACAGTTCTTTAAAATGATTCTGTTTGTGTCAACTGTTTACAAAAGCTGGCTATTATTACAAATATCCAATAACACTAGATATCCATTAGTATCCAGTTAGTGATATTACTGTCATTTTACATTAGTTATAGCATTTTATATTTGCTCAAAAACAGGTTTTTCAAGAACAACTAGAGTACATTAAGTGCAAAAGATTCTTATCAAAAATTGATATCTATATGCTACATATATGAGCTATTTCCGTAAATTTCCGGAATTCTGGAAATTCATTTAGAATTTCTTTAAAATCAGAGGCTCTTGGTTGAGTAAAAAGGCTCTTGGTTAAGTAAAGGCTAGAAATGGTGTCTCGATAAAAATACTCATCTTGAGCAGACGTCAACAACATCCAGCTACTCTCTTGCAGGAGGCCTCCTAGGCAAAGACTTTATTTATTAGGACCCCTCCAATTATCATCGGATCAGTCTTCTTTCTGTTATAATCAAGGTCTTTGAGTCTTGGATCAAAAAATTTCTTACATCACAGCTTGAGTCAGGTAACTTACTGTCAGACAATCAATACGGTTTTTGATCTTCTCGCTCTATGGCTGACTTGCTAGCTGCTGCAACTGAAAGATTTTATTGTCCATTAGATGGAGGCTAGGGCTATTGCTCTCGACATACCTAAGGCTTGAAACAAAGTTTGGCATATTAGTCTCCTCCATAAGGTTGTTTTATATGGTGTATCTGGGAAAGTTTTTGAGATTATCAAATCACTTCTTTCTAACTGCATCCTCGGAGGCCAACACTCTTCTTTATTTCTATCAACTTCTGGGGTACCTTAAGGTTCTATCCTTGGCCTATTTTATTTTAATATTTTATTTCTTATCTATATTAATGATCTTCTCAACAATCTTACATCTAAAGCAGCTCTTTTTGCTGATGACTTTATACTCCTTGACAAAAGGACAAAACACCTTGACAAAATGCCCATGCAAATCAGTTTACACAGGTGAAATAAAGCCCATGCAAAATATAAATTTTTGGTAAAAATAAAGTTAAATACTTTTACGTTTTTATTAAGTTATTCTTTTAAAAACTTTTTAAATGATGTAGTTTTGTAAAACTGTTTCTTTTACTAGTTAAAAACTATTTTATTCAAGATATGCTGACAAAATTATGGAAAAAATAATTTTTGAATATTCTGATGTACAAATAAAAAATAGAAATCACACAAGTTATTTTAAACAGCTATAACTGTTCTGTATTATTCTGCGTTATGTTCAAAGATAAATAATTACTATGTTAAAAAGCAGGCAAAATGTGCATTTGTTGCAAAAGAATTTAACATAATAGTCAGGGTTTTCAGTATTCTTTGGAAATTTGTAAACTTATATAATAAAAACTGTTAGATAATAAAGACAATTTATTTTTTGTATAATCACACATTTTGCTTAATTGAATGATAAACTAGTTTGTCATACTTTAAAGTTGATTAAAGTAGTGAATATTTCCCTGTATACTTCGGCGTTAACTTCAAGGGTTTTTTTTTGAAAAAGCCGGCAGTTTATTTAATATGCTAATATATTACTCGTTATTAAAAATCGAATATCTCATTTATAATCAACAGACTGCTAATTGATTTTTATAATATAAATTGAGTATCTGATTTTGAATGGAAACAATAATAAAATAATATTTTAGTCTAAACAGTTGAAAAACATTTGTAAAAGAATAGAACTCTTTGGTTCAAGGTTTATTAAAAAAAGATTTCAATGTAACTGTCACTATACCTTTATAGCTTAGAGATATCACGGTTAAATTTTTAAAATTTTAATTTAGTTTACAAAGCACAAGAAAAATGAACGAACTAAAGAAGCACAATAAAAAATGTTATATTTTATTCCATTATTTTAATAAGACAATCTTAATACTCAAATAGATCTTGCAAAATTGCTACGTTCATTGCAAAATTTCTTAAACAACAAGATGCTTGAGAAAAGAAACATGATGGTTGCGAAGGTTGTTTTTCTGTCATTTTTTGTTTGCAAATTATTGGTTTGACTATATCTAGAATAAACTCAAAAAAAATCTGATTATACAACTGAAAAAACTGGATAACAAAAGAAAAAGTATGAATAAAAATCGAGAAACAAAACCAAAGAAAAAATATAATAACAAAAACTCACTAAGTAGAGCGCACACTAATAACTCTGAGCGAAAGATAAAAATGACAGAATAACTTCGAAAAACTATTACCTCAACTTTACAAGTATCCAACTATATAAAGTTTAATTACCAAAGTCTTTTTAAATGATTTGCCACTCTCCTATTTATTATTAAAGCGATTGTAGAAATTTTAATACACAATAATATTTTAATTTATAAAAAAGAAGAGAAATGAATAAACTTTTATAATAAAATAATTAAGATCATTTGTTTTTATAAAACAACTATATGATGTATAACAATTTTTTATATATTGTTATTTTACAATGATTAGTTATATTTTAACATTTAAATATTGTTTTTTATTTTTTTAATTAACCTAAATTATTAAACAAAATTATTTTGTAAATGCATATAAAAACCATGCGTTTACAAAAGCACCAGAAATTTAATTTACTTTCTTCAGTTGTGTACTAAGTTATTTAAGTTAAAATTAATGCTATTAAAGAAAGTAATTGGTGCTCAAAGGAGCTAGTTCCATCAACTAAAACTCAAACATCTCGCTTAACTCGTCATTCAGCAAAATCTCATTATTTTACTTTATCTGTCCCTGCATGCTCTAAAAACTTTTATTTGTCAAGTTTTTTTCTAGCAACTTAACCCTTTAAAACTCTCTCCCATCTTTATGTTTTCCTGACTCATACAACCTACAACCATAGATCATCCGGGTCATATTTTAAAAATCCGGAAAATTGTTTGGATAAAATATCTGGAATATATTTTCCCATATTTTTTTTAGATGAGTTGTTTTCATTTTTTTTTTTCCAAGCTTTTTATAATTTTTGTAAGAGTGATAAGTGAAAAAGCTTATAAAGCAAATATATTACAAAAATTTACACCTAAACTTGATTGTATGGAAAACGTTTTATATATACGGAAGAACTAAAAGTTGAGAAAAATATCTGGAATTCCAGAAATACCCAGAAAATAATCCCTGTACAACTTTTCAAGTCTTCTGTCAACCCTTTCCTTGCTCTATAACTTAATAGTGGTTGTTTGTAGCCTTGTTGGGAGTGAATCAGATTTTAAAAAAATGGGCTAGTAAGCAGGTTTAAAAGGCACTGGTTTCCAATAATGAATTTAACCCTTGATAGTTAAAAAATAGGGTTATTAAAAAACTCTGACATTTTTGATGCAAACATGACATGTTAAAATGCTTGTATTTTTAGATAGTTGGGTCTTATGGTCTGATGGTCTTATATGCTGTTAATGTTAGATCAAAAGAAAGTGTTAGAAAAATTTATATCTCAAAATGGCTGAAAATTAAACTTTTCCAGCTAAGGGGCATAATACTTTTTGTTTTTTTTTAGTCCCAAACAGCAACAAGGTGCTTATATCTTGCCCACTTACAGCATACAGTAGTAGCTAATTGAAAATTCCTTAAATTTAAGGTAAAGGGTCTCTACAATTGGAAACTATTTGAAATGGAAAAATAACATTGTAATATATACATGTACACAATGCTATTTTAATATATTTGTTGGTTTGTTATGATCCCTGCTTTACTTTTAATAAAACTTTTTTTCTTTTTTTTTTTTGTCAAATAATTTTTAAATTATGTCATAAATAGTTTTATTAGGATTGAAGTTTTATAACAAAGGTAATGTAAGCCATTTTAGTTATTTACTATCTTTTTATTATGTTATTAAACAAAAAGTGTATTATAAAACTGTTATTAAAAATGTTTATTTGAAATTTGAAAAAAAAGGTAAAAAAATAGAATGTTTTTTAATAAATAATCAAACTAAAAAACAAGCATAAAACAAAGTTAGAAAAAACTTGTCATTTGCTAACTCTTGTTTTTAATGCACAAATATAACATAAATATTCTGCATATGCTATATCTTAAAAAGCTGTTCTGTATATACTATATGCATTCTGCATATAGAATATGCAGAAGCTTTATTATATGCAGAAGCTGTTTTAAAATATAAAATATTGAGAATAATTATGCAATGTGAATGCTTTAAAAACAAGATTTAGTAAATTACAAGTTATATCTAATTTTTTTTTGTGTTTAATATACAGTTACCTACTGAGTAACTGTATTAGCATTGGTAGTGCATTGGTAGTAACTTACATTGTAAGATTAATTATTATATAAAATAACACCTTTATTATTAATTTTCCCCATTTATTTAATAGGAATTGCAAATTTAGGAATAGAAATTAAATGCCAAAAAATACATAAACATACATAAAATGTATAAAATAATATAAATGTATCAAATATATGGTATACAGCTATTTTATAAAATATATGACAAAAAATGATAGCATAATTTAGAATAAGTTCAACGTTCATACCCATAAAAACTCTAAAAAAAATTTATAAAAAAAAAAATTAAAAAAAAATATTAAAATAATTTTATAGAAAAAAATTTTTTAAATATATAAGTATTGACCTAATTTTAACCCAGTCATGAGTAGGCGGTTCTCCAAAAAATTGCACATGAACTTCCAAATAGTTTTTTAAATGTTTGTTAGTTGCTGGATCTTTACACACTAATGCAGGCCAAAAAGGATAAGTATCTAATTTTGCCCAAACTAATTCTCCTACTAAAAATGTGTTGTTGTTGTTGTTGTTATTAGTGGTTAACGGTGTTCCTGAATTTTTATCTTCGACTTTAGATTTTTTTGTTGGTACAATGTTATTCTTATTAGGAGCTGGAGATTTTTTAAAATACGAAAACAAAGTTGCCATGCTCCTAATTAAATTTTACTATTAAATATTATAATGATTGCTTAAACACAGTAAATTTGTACTAATCGCGCACGTGGGCATGTTCTTAAGAATTGTAATTTTCGTCGGATTTTTAAAGCGGGAAACTTGATCGCTCTCATGGTCCGTTAAGTTAGGGTAGTCAATGTCCTTTTTTTAGTGTTGCACAGTGTCAAAATTTGGCAAAAAACCCTCAAAATTAAATAACTGAAAGGAACTTTAAAATCGAATTGCAATGTAACTAGTACCACCAGTAGACGACTATTAACTATTGTATTTTGGTTTAATTCCAATGGTTCACCGTTTTTGTTTTTTTTCCAATGGTCCAACCATTTTTTGGGACTTTTCTTGAGACTAACTTTCCTCTTTTTTTTTTTTTTTTTTTGCGTACAAAACGCTTGTTTTAGTGTCACTCTTTAAAGTTCATATGAGTAAAAACTGTTCAAATTTTAATTTAAAGACAAATATTTAAGATATTTGGAAACTAAAAAAAATAGTTATAAAACTGCATTATAGTTTCAGATAGTCTTTCCATAGATCATGAAAAAAATACACCAAACTAACTTTTTTTTTCTTTTTTAGTAATTGTTAGTTTAGTTAAAAAACTAAAAGATTCCACTAGATTTTATGTTAATTTCAACATTTTATCATTGATAGGTATATATGAAACCAAAAAATACGTGCTCAAACATGCCCTAACTTAATATAGGACTTTTAACTTTTTTATATTTTTTCTTCCGTTTCCAAAATTATTAAAAACTTGCGCATAAAATAAAGAATACGTTTAGTTCCTATTATTCAAGAGTTACCTGGCACAAAATTTTCAAGAACGTTCAACGAACGTTGTGAACGTTCGAGTGCGTTCTATGAACGCTCATAGAACATTCGCAACGTTTGTTGAACGTTTTGTGTTAGCTGGGTAGGAATTAATCATGATAATTTACTTGAGGACCTTCTACTTAGTTTTGTAGACTTTAGGGTCTATATCATGAAAGTATTGATGAACCTTTAGTAGTAAAAGTAATTATATATCTAAAGAAAACTCTTTCAACATCTAAATGTAAATGCCGGAAACATTCAAGAATTATTTTAAGATTTTTAGAACATAAACAAACTTAATTGGACAAAGATATAACAGTCGACAGAAAAGATGTTGTAGAAAGTTCAGGTAGAAAAACAAGGACTGGAAAGATTAAAGTAATAAAAGCAAAAAAACCGGAGGTAACCATAAATTTATTGAATCCAAATCAATTCTAAAAAATGTTTGCAAGGCTTAAATATTACGTATTATTTTGTTAAAGTTTGTCGAATCAGCTGAATATCCAGCTGAAGCAATGGAATTACCTTCAATAAAAAAGTATTCTGTTAAAAATAATTTTGTTGTTCTTATAAAAAATACTACAAATCTTAATAAAGTTAAGAGAATGGACATAAATTTTCCAATAAAAATGAAAATCAAAGATGCTTTGAGCTTAAAAATTCAGTGATTTTTTTGATGAACAGTCTTAAATTATTGAAAATTAATTAATTAAAATTAATATTGCAGAATGCAGATATTTATTATTCACTTTATGAAATTAAAAATAAAAGACAGAAATTCTGAAAGTGTAATTGTGACAAAAACATCTGCTCTATAGAGTATATATTTATTCATACTCTGAAATGGATATTAACTTTAACTAAATGCCATGACTCTGTGAGAATATTTGCTAAAAAATTGATTTTACTTTATAGTTGGTTTCAATGGTTCCTCCAGTCCATAACATTCATAACAGTCCATAACAGTCCATAACTCCAGTCCATAAACGTAAAGCGTGTATAAATTGATATAAACAAGTCAGCGAGCAAAATTTTTTCAAACAACTACTGTAACGCTTAAATTAAGCAATCAGGACTAAAAATTATGGTTAAATAAGAAGCCCTCTAGTGCACATTACTGTAGACTTATACATTTTAAATATCTCAAGGAAATGAAAGAACTGTTAAGAAATGATTTTGATTATCCTAAAGCAAAAATGAACAGACTGGTCATGTTTGAGGTAAAGTTAGAATTGGCAGAAGGCAAGTCTGGTACAACTATCATATTTATGTTAAAACTAGATTTAATCATGTTTGATTCAAAAATGGTTAATGCTCTTAATAACACTCTGCCCTCCTAATCAAGTGAGCTAAGCTAAGTGAACTTAATAATCCAGCATTCAACAGAGATTTAGAGAAAGCTAAGCCTTATAATTGATAATGTACAAACAGGGTTTTGGTAATACTATTACCAAATATATATATAGGAACACTTACAGAAGGGCATTTGAAAATCTTGATAGTTTTCCTGGAATTACAGAAAATATATTAGGTGTAATTATCAGATTAAGAATAATTCTAAGATCCTGTTATGAATTAAACTCTGAAAGGTTTGGCTAGTATTGCTATAAAACTACAGTTTTTAGACTCAAAAATTTCTACTGATTTGTGATTTCCCTAATTTTTAATAAACTTTTGGATTATGAGGTGCAGATATCTAAAAGACTAGAACTTTCTATTTACCTTTTATTATTATATTTTATTATAACTCTCTATTTACCTTTATATATTCTATATACCTTTCTAAGGAGACACTAGAGGTTCTGAAGGAAGAAATGGTAGATTGAACCATTCAGCTAAGATATCTAAAAAAATATTATGATAAACCAGTTATAGTACCTTTTGATCAGAAGTGATCGAGTAATATCAAACATTAGTTTAAAAAATACGAATTGAAAATGCAAAACCACTACTCCCAGAAATTTTGGTTTTGTTAATGCTGTCGTAAGAAAATAAAGCTTTTTTGTTATAGTATTTTGAATTTATTTGTTTTGTTTATAAAAAATTTAGATTAGTTATTTATTAAGGTATTTTAATTTTTTTTAAGCCAAAATTTTTATTGTAACTATTACAATGTGCGTTTTGGTTTAAAGAACCTAATATTTTTTAATTAAGTCATACTTTTTACGCGTAAACAACTCTAACAGGAATACACATGTTTAGTACGCTCCGTAAAATATTTTCATCCAAAAAACATTTCTTCATCCAAAATACCATATAAAAGAATACCAGGTATTCTTTTATATGATATTTTGGATGAAGAAATTTAAAACGTGTTCACGCTCGTTGTACACGTCTTAGAAGCGCTTAGTTTTTATTTCTCATTAGAGAGCGACGATTATTCGTTTATCGAATATAGATGTGCGAATATTCGTTGATATTATTAGTGAACGAATATTTGTTAAAAAAATTCGTTCAAATTAATTGTGAAGCTATATTCATTAAAAAAATAATATTCGTTCAACAAATATATATTCATTAAAGAAATAAATGGGAACAAATATATATTTGTTAAACAAATATACACATTGTATTTCACAATTACATTAATAAATTCTATTATTTTGGATTTTCGCATAAATTTATGTCTGATAATTTAATTTTATTTAATACTCTTTGCCAGGGCTGTGGAGTCGGAGTTGCGGAGTTGCGACATTTTCGGAGTCGCTAAACAAAATCGCGACTCCGATTCTAATAGTAAAACTTCATGGTATTGCACGTGCATATACAAAACATTCAATTAACCTTATGTTCATACAAAATCTCAAAGAACGTTTAACAAATTTGTCAGAAAAGAAATTTTTAACTTATCGCGTAATATTTTTTAAATAATTCAAAGAATTTTTCAAAAATTTTGCTTTGGAGTTGGAGTCGAAATTGGAGTCGGAGTCGGAGTCAGAGCTGTGCTCAAATTTTAACAACTGGAGTCGGAGTCGGTATCGTTACTTTTTTTTTACGACTCCACACCCCTGCTCTTTGCATTTAATAACTTTTCTGCTTACGACTGAAGGTGATATAACAGGTTCTTTATTTTCAGTTACTGCTGCAAAAAATCACCCCCCTCCTCCGATATGTACACTCCTTGCATGTTCTACTTATTTGTAAGTTGGTTTATGAAAAATAAAGGATTAAGATTCTGTTTGTATTATAACATGTATGCATAAAATATTCATATTATAAACAACTATTATATTGATATATCGTTTTTTTTATGCGCTGGAAATCCGGGGGAATTTTTTCTCAGGGGCATTTTTTCCTGCTACCGTTGATCCTGTTCCCTTAAAACTTAACATGTTGTTGTTCTTGCAATCTATTAGAGTTGAGATTGGAGTGCCATACTTGAATACAGCTTTTCTGCTGATTGTTTTCTTTTACATCATCTAACGCGGTTTCTATATCTTCCTCATTGTACGACTTTTTACTTGTTGACATCTTGAAAGTGAATTTTAATAAATATTATTTAATCTACTTTATTTTATTATTTTATATAGGAGGAAACCGAAACTAACAAATAAGAAAATCTAATAACTTAATTTAAATTTTAGATTCCTAACTTGAAAATTCACACAGGTACTTTATAAAGGAATTTAAAGTCAATATGAATTGTCGGTTTTAACTAAAAAATATAATCTTAATTTTTTGTCTGGTTTTTAACATTAAAACAAATAAACAAAACAAAAAAAATGTATCTCTAGTTATTACGATATGAAAAAACAAATATTTACGACTTTCTTTTATACCTTTAAAAAAATAAAATGAAAAAACCGTCTTCTCTATTCAAAATAAAATACTAGGATTTTATTTTGAATAGAGAAGACGGTTCTCTTTCTTCTGGTGATTTTATTACAGTAAATTCCCATTAACTCGAACCTCCAAGGGACCAAGGAAAACGATTTGACTAAACGAATGTTTGATGTAAGCCTTATAAACTGATAGACACGGCTCTAGTTGAGTAATACTCATTTCAAAGTGAAGCCAAAATAAATTTTGTGCGTTGACGTCACTTTGTGGCAAAAAACATTTTTTAAAAAAAAGTTCGCTCTTACATTTATCTCATTTTTAAAATCAATTTTAATTATGGTGCATTCTTGCAGTGCATACAACTGCACAGAAAGATATAAAAATGGTTCAGACATTTTATTTCATGGGTAAGAGTTTGTAATAAATAAAAAATAATTTAATATCATATAATTAATAATTTTGAATCATACT